AAGAAACTGATGCTGTCAAAGATTACAAGACCAAAGGGATCATTGTGATCATCTAGCCTGAACTCCAGTATAACACAGTTCACAAAACCTCCCCAAAATAATTCCTCGAGCATATATTTAAAAATTGTCAGTGATGGAGAATCCACCACAACAGTTGGTAAACTGTTCCAGTGGTTAATTAGGCTCACTGATGAGCCTTATTTCCAGTCTGAATTTATTTAGCTTCAACTTCCAGCCTTACATCATTATACCGATCCTACTAGACTGAAGAGCCCATTATTAAATATTTGCTCCCCATGTAAATACTTACAGACTAATCAAGTCATCCCTTAACCTTCTCTCTTTGTTAAGCTAAATAATTGAGTTATTTGAGTCTATCACTATAAGGCAGGTTCTCCAATCCTTTAATCATTCTCATGGCTCTTCTTTGAGCCTTCTCCAATTTACCACCTCCTTCCTGAATTGTGGACATCAAAACAGGACACAGTGTTCCAGATGCAGCCACTCTAGTGCCAAATATAGGGGAGATAAAACCTGTTTACCCCTACTCGAGGTTCCCCTTTATGCATCCAAGAATCACATAAGTTCTTTTGGCACAGCACCCCCACATGGGAGCTCATGTTCAGCTGACTATGCACTATGACTTCCAAATCTTTTTCATAATCACTACTTCCCAGGATAGAGTCCCCCATTCTGTAATATGACCTACATTCTTGTTCCTATTTGTATACATTTAGCCATATTAAAACATTTTGTTTTCCTGCACCCAGTTATCCAAGCGATCCAGATCACTCTTAACCATTGACATGTCCTCTTCATCACTTACCACTCCCCCAATTTGTGTGTCATCTGCAAATCTTATCAGTGATGCTGACAGGTTTTCTACCAGGTCATGGATATAAATGTTAATTAGCTCAGGACCAAGAACTGATGCTGGAGACACACATGCTTGATGACAATTACATTTTGAGACCTAACAGTTTGCCAGTTTTTAAACCATTTAAAGTACAAGACTTTAATTTTGTAAGAGACACAAGGTGGGTGAGGTAATATCTTTTATTGGACCAACTTCTGTTCATTAAAGAGGCAAGCTTTTGAGCTCCACAGAGCTCTTCTTCGGGTCTAATTCAGACAATTGGCCCAACAAGAGATATCACCTCATCCACGCTGTAGATTTCATATCCTGGGACCAATATGGCTACAACAACATGGCAAACAACAAACATTAATTTTATATCGTTCTGATTTTTTTAAATCAAAATGTTGTGTGATACCAAGTCAATCACCTTACAGAAGTCTAAATATATTACACTAACACTGTTACCTTTATCAACCAAACTTATCTCATCCAAAAAAGGTATCAAGTTAGTTTGACAGGATCTATTTTCCATAAACCCATGCTGACTGCATTAATTACATTACCCTCGTTTAATTCTTTATTAATCAAGTCCCATATCAGTCACTCCATTATCTTGCCTAGGACTGGTGTCAGGCTGCCAGGCCTATAAATTACCCAGGTCATCCCATTTACCGTTTTTAAATATTGGGACAACATTAGAGGACTTCCAGTCTTCTGGAACTTCCCTACTGTTCCAAAACTTACTGAAAAGCAACCTTAACGGTCCAGTGAACTTCTCAGCCAGCTCTTTTGGAACTCTTGGGTACAAGTTATCTGGCCTTTCCGATTTAAACATGTCTAAATTTAGCTTTTGTTTAACATCCTCCTGAGATACTAGTGGAATGGAAAGAATGTTATCGCCATATGTGAGACTATATCTCCCCCTCCCCGCATACACAACAGAAATATTTATTGAACACTTCTGCCTTTACTGCATTATTATTGATAATTCTACCATTACCATCTAATAATGGATCAATACCATCGTGAGGAGTCTTTTTGTTCCTAACTTTTTTTTTAAAAAAAACTCTTAATGTCCTTAACTCTGCTGACCAAAAATTTCTCCATGTGTCCCTTAGCTTCCCTTATCATTATTCTACAATTTCTAACTAACTTCCTCTTTATATATATATATATATATATAAAATAATCTTTAAAAAATGTATAGCTCCCTTCACTTCCCCTCTAAACAAGGTCAGTTTTTAAACCAGTACAACCTTCTTCCTCTATTGTGGCTTTTGGGGCATCTAGTAAAGTGTTCTTAAATGATTCCCAGTTCTCATTCACATTTTTCTGATTAAATTCTTCCAGCTAGCTGACTTGCCTCAAAATTGTTTTCAGCTTTGTGAAATTTGCCCTATTAAAGCACCAAATACATATATTACTGGTCTGGCCTTTATTCAGCTTGCACATTATAAATGTGATCAAGTGACAATCAACCGTGCTCACTCATACAGTCTCTTATACAAGTGCCAAATGGCATCACTCATGCTACGTCAGAGTCAGTTTTCCACAGGGTTTGTGCAACCAGCGCATTGTTCCCCTTAAATGGAAATGTACAGAGGCTTTCATAAATGATGATACAGTATTCAGAGTAAAGTTAACTTGGAAAGGTTCTACATGCTGACTATTTTATGGTATACATTTAACAAACTACATATTTAACAAGAAAACTAACAATGATACATGTAGTATAATCAATGTGGCTAATTTAACAATGGTGGGGGTCTTTCACAGATCACCAAATCAAACCAGAGAACAGGATGAATTACTCCTTTAACTCCTCCTCTGAAACGTGTGGAAAGAAAAACTCTTATAGGAAATTCAATTTGGGAAATATATGCTGGAAGTCTCATGCAGATAGTAATAAAATATCATTAAAATTTCTCAAACTTATTTAAGATGGTTTTCTAACACAAAAAGTATTGCACCCATATAAGAACTATTTTGGACCTCATTATGGTGAATAAAGCTGAATTAATCACTGGACTCAGAGTTTGTGGTTGACTAGTGATCACTTATCATGACCTGATTATATTACGGGCAAAAAGAGGATGGTTCCAACCAGTAAGATATATACTTGGTACTTCAAAAGTGCTAAGTTCCCAATGCTGAGAACAATTATGAACAAAATTGGTTGGGAGGAAAATTCAGAAAGAAAAATGTCAATGAAAATTGTGAGTTCTTTAAGAAGAGTTTATTAGATGACCAAAAAGTTACAATTCTACTATCAAAAGAGAGGACAACTGTGGCTAAAACCTATCCTGGTTTAGTGCCCAAGTGCAGGCAGTAATTGGAAATGAAAAAGCAATTTATAACACATGAAAAATAGATAGCAATCGATAAAAATTAGAAGTTAAAAGTGCTGAAAATTGATAAGGGAAGCTGAAGGCAACAGGGAAAAATATATGGTTGGCAGAACTACGGACAATAAAAAGGTGAAGGTTTTATTTTTTGTTTTGTTTTATTTTAAGTATGTAAGCAATGTAAGTAATCCTAATAATGGAATAAGTCCATTACTTGATGGAGATGGCAAAATTCTTAATCAGGATGCAGACAAAGCAGGGCATTCAATTAATCTTTCTGGTCTGCATTTGAAAAGAAAACAGGATAATGAATTCATAACACATGAGGATGATGAAGTACCTTCCAGTCCCTTAGTAACCAAGGAGGACACGAAACCTCATTTACCAAGGATAAACATATTTAAATCAGGAGGCCCAGATAACTTGCACCCAAAAGTCCAAAAGAGTTGGCTCGGAAGACCACTGGCCTGCCGATGTTAATTTTTAATGTATCTTGTAATACCGAATAAATTCCAAAAGACTTGAAGAGTACTAATGTAGTGCCATTATTCAAAAAAAAGGGCAAGTGAGATAACCTGGACAATGGCCCTATTAGACTGACATAAATCCCAGCCAAAGTAATGAAAAGCTGATACAAGATTCAATTAATAACGAATTAAAGGATAGAAATATAGCTAATGCCAGTAAACATGGCATAAAAGAAAAAAGGTCAAAAAATCTGATTTCATTCTTTGATGAAATTACAAGTTTGGTTGATAAAGGTAACTCTGAAGACAGATGTAATATACTTACACTTTTGTATGACGTTTAACTTCATACCACACAACCTTCCAATTAAAAAATTAGCACTATATAATATCAGTAAAGCACACACAAAATGGATTAAAAACTGGCTGACAGATCTCACAAAGTTTACAACAGGGAATTATCATTGAATGGGAATATTTCTAAAGGGGGTCCAGAGGAATCGGTACGAGACTTTAGTCCATATTTTCATCAGTGACCTGGAAGTAAATATAAAAACACTACTGACAAAACTTGCCTGTGACCACAAAGATTGGCAGAGTAGTAAATAATGACCAGGACAAGGCAGTCACAGAGAGAGATCTGTATCTCTTGGTAAACTGGAGCCATTCAAACAAAATGCATTTTAATACAGCAAAATGAAAGTTATACGGTCAGGAAACAAGGAATTCAGGCCATATCTAAAGAATGGGTGAGGTGTCTGTATTCTAGAAAGCTATAACTCTCAAAAGGATTTAAGAGTCATAGTGGCCAAGCAATTCAACAGGAGTTTCCAGTGCAAAGCTGTGGCTAGAAGGACCAATGCAATCCTTGGATAAACAGGGAAGTTGTAAGAAAGAGTGGGGAGGCAATTTTACCTCTGTATGACATTTGTGAAACCAATACTGGAATATTGTACCCAGTTCTGGTGTCCACAAAAAAGAAGTAGCGGTGACTTGATTATAATATATAAAGTACCTTCACAAGGACAAAATACTGGGTACACTAAAGGACTCTTTAATCTAGCGGAGAAAGACATAAGATTCAAAAGCTAGAAATTGAAGCCTTCTAGAGATTATTTTTGAATGTATTATTAGATATGACCATTCCTTAGAATTTATGGGTGTTCTACTATTTGGCCCCAAAATGGTGGGCAGTTTGAGAAAGTCAGTTAGTAATAAAAGTCGGTTAGCAATAAAAGATAATTCAATATAAGAGGATTTCAACAAAGGGCTTTAAATCACAGAAGAATGAAAACATGACTGAATTGATTAACTGTTCTTAACAATTACCTTGATCAACTCCAGTTAGCTGATGATTGGATGTAATATTCTTGGCAGGTTCTTGCACATCTTCATAGCCATACTCTTCTTCTAATCGCTCAGCAAATGCTGAGGGTTTGTCACGTCTTGAGTAAATAAACTGAGCAGCTACAACAACCAGGAGCAGAACATTAAGAATAGTTTCCCTTCAAACAAGTATCCCATTGTTTGAATACAAAAGCTAGCTAAAGAAAATACATACTGATGGTAGCCTGCATTAATTAATCTGGAAAAAAGAATCTCATTTTGTAATTATTAGCCTCGAGGACTGCACTGGGCAAAGGAAAGTCCATACTTAAATACTGCGGATGGCCCCCTTCCACCAAAAGAGGAGAGACCCTATGGAGAAGTCAATATCCATGTACCTTTTAATATAACGCACAATTCTACCCAGTTCAGTATTCTGTAACAAAAATATCAAGTTTATGAAGACTTTCAAAGGCAAAAAAAAATTTTAGACCAAGAGTTCTCAAGTATTTTTACTTAGGACTCAACTTATAACTTTATGACCCCAAATCTCAAAAACCTTTGCACTATTTCAGCTTTTAAAAAAGCACATTAGCCATAATTAGTTTGTTTTAAAGTCCAGTGTGGTGTAGGGTTAAAGTAGCTTTTACTAGTTTCTATCTATTCATAACAAAGTTTATTCAATTAATTCAGCCCATTTTTCTGTTCTTGACCTTTAATTTTTACAAAAACAGGCCATGATTCAAAGTACTTTAGCATATGTTTAAAATTTAAACACATGCATAAATCCCACCCCTAATAAGCGAAGCACCTAAATCATATGCTTAAATGCTTTGCTGAATCCTGGCCCTAGTCATTATTCATAATTTTCAAAGTTTATGTAAAGAAATTTCAGACTAGGAGTCGTCTGTGAACATTCACTACAACTATTTGCTATATTTTATTTATGGTGTGTGAGCAGATTTCTTGAAACATTTGGTTTTGTTTCTACTTTGTCCCTGGATGGCTAAAGCTTTTCAAATGAGAAAAGCAAGCCTTGTCCACACACAAATATTCTAGCTTCCATGCAAAAACAAGAGTTCAGTGACTCCTCAAACTTTGCTGTAATAATAAATAATAATAATTTCTACAAATGATCACGAGTAGCAAAAACACACACCATACAGACATGGTCAAAGAACACAGCTATTCATTATTTGACCAAGTGGTCCCATACACCATAATGTAATATTCGCAAAATGCCAACTTTTATTGTGAACAAATACAAATTTGATAATCTCATCTTTTAAGAAGTTATAGTCTTAGCAAATGTTTCTTAAATGCACATCACCCAATAGTTTATATTCAATCATCTTAGTTGCTGCTATCTTGCAAAGCTATCTTTCTAGATGTAACCAGCATTAGGCACTTTTTAAATAAAACCTTACTGTTGAAAGATTTTGTAGGGAATCAGGTGCACACAAGCCTCAGCACAGCTATGCAACCCACTTGTTTAAAAAGAGAATACATCTAGAGTGTCTTTTCATTTGTTTGTTTGTTTGTTTACAAGGTGAGAGAACCTCCTCACTCCTTACAAAAAGGACAAAAAAAAACCCATCAGCAAAGTTTAAAAATGAACACGAAGCAATTTAATTTTAAATAGGGGAACATGACCAAAAATATTGTAAATACATACCTATGTCTGCAACTGCTTACTATAGAATAAAGAGTAACCAGACTGACAAATGACTATATTTTTAAAGGTATTTAGTTGCCTAAACAAGAAGATGTGTGTCTAGTGGGATTTTCAGAAGTGCCTAGGACCCTAATTCCAACTGATTTCAATAGCAGTAATGCACTTAACTACTTTTAAAAATCTGGTCCAAATAGCTTTGTTCTGGAAATAAATGTATGTTTTTGCAACTGCTGCTCCAATCACATTCCAAATATAGCACTACTCAGCCAGCCTTGCCTTCGTTGACTTCTCAGTTCTTTTACCCATCAGAAAGTCCCAATATTCTGTATAATTTTTTATCATCTATATTTGTTCAAATTTCTCCAAATGAGACTTGCATAGACAAACATTGAACTAACCTGTTGAAGGGGAAATACAACAATCATCCTCTACTGATTGGCCATAAAGATCATCATCTTCAAAATCTAAGAGGCAGAAACAGTAAGAATTAATCTGTATATAATTTATTTTTAAATATTTAACAAGTACGGAGTGTTTAAAAGCAATTTCTTAAATATTTTTAAAAACCCTCTCCCCAATTACACAATAATTATTCCACTTCAGTATTTCTAAGGTTCATCAATAAAAAGTGTCTTTTAATCAGCTATAAGTAAGAACAGTAATACATGTATTGTTAATATTCAATAGGCTATGTATAGGACAGTGAAAAAAATTCAAGAACCTTCTAATTCTTTTCTGCACCCCTCTAACATGGAACCTAAGCAAATCATGGGACTGTCTGTATAATCAGCCTATTTCCTACTAGAATATTTAACTTCAAGGATAAATTTATAAAACCACATACCTAAAGTACTTTCACGTGCACTGAGCATTCAGACACGCAGGATGGTTTAGTATAAGATACTACAATAGAACACACTTACACAAAAGAAAATGTAACTACAACTGTACTTCTATTACTGTAATATATTATATAACATAGTACATAATAGAGAAGGGCTACTAGGATGATCTGAGGAATGGAAAACTTGTCTTATGAAAGGAAACTCAAGGAGCTTGGCTTGTTTAGCCTAACCAAAAGAAAGTTGAGGGGAGATATGATTGCTCTCTATAAATATATCAGAGGGATACATACCAGAGAGGGAGAGGAATTATTTAAGCTCGGTACCAGTGTGGACACAAGAACAAATGGATATAAACTGGCCATCAGGAAGTTTAGACTTGAAATTAAACGAAGGTTTCTAACCATCAGAGGAGCGAAGTTCTGGAATAGCCTTCCAAGAGAAGCAGTAGGGGCAAAAGACCTATCTGGCTTCAAGATTAAACTCGATAAGTTTATGGAGGAGATGGTATGATGGGTAACATGATTTTGCCAATTAATTGATCTTTATTCAAGGTAAACAGGCCCAATGGCCTGCGATGGGATGTTAGATGGGGTGGGATCTGAGTTCCTACAGAGAATTCTTTCCTGGGTATCTGGCTGGTGTTTAGCTCAGGGTTTAGCTGATCGCCATACTTGGAGTCGGGAAGAAATTTTCCTCCAGGGCAGATTGGAAGAAGCCCTTGGGGGGGGTTTCGCCTTCCTCTGTAGCTTGGGGCATGGGTCACTTGCTGGAGGATTCTCTGCACCTTGAAGTCTTTAAACCATGATCTGAGGACTTCAATAGCTCAGACATAGGTGAGAGGTTTATTGCAGGAGAGGGTGGGTGAGATTCTGTGGCCTGCATTGTGCAGGAAGTCAGACTCGATGATCATAATGGTCCCTTCTGACCTTAATGTCTATGAGTCTATAACAGAAAATTATACTAAATGCAATTATTTCAGCCAAAAAGCAAGGATCCTGTACCATTATTGAAATATAATATACATTTTCCCAACCAGGAATTTCTCTGCACTCAACAAATTGATTGGTCTAACCTGCAGGGTTTGAAAGATTTCCCCGATATTTTCTAGCAAGGTGAAGAACACCAGTGTTGCCATCCCCCAGCTATTCACAACCTTGCATATTAAAACATTAAAACAAAAAAAAAAAGTAACTATGGCACTATCAACTTCCTATTTTGGGAAACTTTAGCAATTGTAGTTTACTCTCTTTCCTGTATTAATGTTATACTTTGTTTCTCTTTCCTACCTTCACTACACTTTTTCTTTTCTCTTGTAGATTGTTCTCTTTCTAATATGTTAAGTGTGATGTTCCCTCATATCCTTTTTACTCTCTCCATCCATTTACATATTTTCTCTCTTTTTCCTCTTTACACTGTGGTCTGTTCTACAACTTCTCCCCTATATTTCTGTGTCTCTCTCCTTCTCCCACTCTCATTTAAAAAAAAATCACTATCAGTTCTGCATTTTTTTAAATTTATCGTCTCCTTATATTAGTTATTCCAAGAATAAGAACTTTGCTGACTTTTAGAGAAGGAATGGAAAACATTTAGCACCGAGTAAGTGTCCTTCTAGCAATGTGATTGCTCATGTTTTTTGTAGATTTTCCTTCTATTTCCTTTTAAATATGAATTACAATGTCATTAAGTAATAACCATATCCTCAGTTGAATAAACTCTTTGGCCTCCTTGGGAAGAAGCATGATCTATTTTGAAGGAAGGAGCATAAGATTGAGAGCCACAATATCCTGGCTCTTTCAATGACTGTTCCATCTCTTGCCTCACTTCTCCATCTATAAAATAGGAAAATACTATAAGAGTACTGAGAAGATTAACAGAGCAGCTGTATGGACATGTAAAGCTATGTAAAGATAATATTAATTATTTCTAATAAATATGTCTATGTTTATTCAGATCAGGATATGGCTCTCAAAGCTCATTAAAAGGAAGCAAATGATACCAATAATACGGAAAAGAAACTTATTTTCAAGGCTTAGTATTTACAGATACATAGTGAACATAAAGAATAAAATATATACTAAAATATTGTTTAAAAAACACTAGTACACACTCAACAGTTTAAAATATATATAATTTGTTTTAAAAAGTCATGAAGAATGAAGTAGCTTGCATGCTAACAAAACTATGCACACTCCTTAATAACAGCTTCTACACCAAAGCAAATGTTGTACCCTTCCCTACAAAAGGCACTCACATCGATCTGGGGAATTAAAGGCTTATTGCTCTGACTACTTGATGTGACATGGACAAATCAGGTTCTGTAAAGAATAATCATACCTCTATTAGAATTCTTTGGATATGTCAATAAGCCAGTGAATAATGGAGAACAGGCTGTCATAATTATTTGGACTTTCATTAACCATTTGACAAAGTTCCTCACAAGCAGTTGCTAAGGAAACTAAATAGCAGCCATAGGGTGAAAAGTAAAGTACTGCCACGGATTGGAAACTGGTTAATGGGGGCGGGGGGAGATCATTTTTCAACATGGTCAGAAACTAACAGTGAAGTGTCCCATGGTTCCACACTAGGACTGGTGTTTATTAATATATTTCCTATTAATCTGGAAAGGGGGCTGAGCAGTGATGTGGGAAATTTTGCAGATGAAACAAAATTACTGAATTAGCCACGAGGAGAGCAAATCATGATGAAATTCAAACAAAATGAACAAATACACACTGATAAGTGCAATTCCAGTGTTGACAAATGCAAGGTAACACACATTGCAAATAATAATTTGAATCACTCACACTCCTTACTGGGTCCTAAATTAACTGTAACTTGATAGGGAAAAAAAGACTAGATACAGGCATAAATATACTGGCATATGAAGAGAAGGGAGTTACCTTACAAGTGGAGAACGAGTGTTGACTAGGCCAATTCAGTCACAGTGGATGTGGTCCATCCCAACAATTGATGAGGAGGTGTCCATACCAAGAGAAGGAAAATGAAAATTACAGATACAGGCAATTTTCCCTCTCTTGGTATTGATACCGCCTCATCAGTTATTGGGAGTGGATCACATCCACCATAACTGAACTGGCCTAGTCATCACTGGTTCTCCATTTGTAAGATAACTCCCTTCTCTTCATGTGCTAGTATATTTATGCCTGTACCTGTAATTTTCACTCCATGCATCTGAAGAAGTGGGTTTTTTACCCACGAGAGCTTATGCCCAAATAAATTTGTTAGTCTTCAAGGTGCCACCGGACTCCAACTAGACAGATGGACCACTGGTTTGATCTCTTATGGTAATTCTTGAGTTCCCATCCCCAAACCAGCAACAGGTATATTTAAATTTACATAAATACATGATTTAAACCACAATTGCATTACAACAAAAAATAACATCGCTCTTCTCTTTGGACATTACGAGATTTATTCATAAATAAGTGGGGCAATTACTACTATATTCATTTTTACCCATTTGAAAACAGCTCCCTCTCCTTTTGTATTTATGATTTCTAATTTTTGAAAAAGGTAAAGGAAGAACATCAGAATTATTAAAAAGAAAGCCTGCCCACAAGAACTCATACTGCATCAAGTGAGCACAAGAGTAGTTTGATTTTGCACTGGGAAGAAGATGGATTTTCTTCTTTTGTTTTCTCCTAAAATTTTTCCACATTCAATGCAGCTTCAGCAGAGGCAGCAATGATGGGCAAGCTAGTGTAGAGAAAGGGCCAACACCTTCCTGTGATTTAGCCATGGAGTCATTCAGATATGTACTAGGACTCAACCATGACTACTCCCGGTGGAACTGAACCAGCAGCAAATTTTAAGACAGAAATACAGTAAATATACATATTCGATGTATAAATGGTCTTTCCTGTCCCTAATTTCCATGATGAATAATCATCAGTACTGGAATGCAAAAGATTTAATATGGCCAGTCCGGCAATAGAAGTGATTTTTTTAAATTTACCTACACAAAAATACAAAATTACATCATCTACGCAAAAAGTAAACTCACAGCAAAACCCTAACTATGCTACAGGTAGCATGTCCCCATAATATGAGTCTCTGGGTGTGTATATATGTACGTATGTGAACGCATGTATACATACAAACACACACCCAAAACTAACAAATTTGGATACAACAGAATTTGTAGACCAAGTTTCTGATGTACATAATAAGATGTTCATTATACACATATAGCAATTAAAGACTGCAATCCAGCAAACACTTATGCAAGTAACTTTAGATGTGTGAGTAGTGTAGTCTTAATGAAAAGGATTACTCATGTGTAAAGATATCCATGTGTTTCCAGGATTGGGACCCAAGTGTTTAACAGGAAAACTGAAAACCACTTAAAAGTAGGGACATTTGTAGAGTTTAGCCCAAGGGTTCTCAAACTGGGGGTCAGGACCCCTCAGGGAGTTGCAAGGTTATTGTACGGGGGGATTGCAAGCTGTCAGCCTCCACCCCAAACCCTGCTTTGCCTCCAGCATTTATAATGGTGTTAAATATACTGTGTTTTTAATTTATAAGGGGGGGGGAGGGTTGCACTCAGAGGTTTGCTATGTGAAAGGGGTCACCAGTACAAAAGTTTCAGAACCACTGGTTTAGCCCCATCACAGACTAGGTGAAACTGAGTTAATCTCCAAGGGGTGAAACAATCAAGCAGAGAAATCTCCAAGCAAGTCTTAAGGTTTGTCTACATTAGGTTAATTTGCATTCCTAATGTAGATGCGTTGGATTGATGTAGTGTCACTTTCATTGGTGTAGCTTACTCCAATAAGCTATAAACGCCACTAGTGCAAACCTCATTTTACACCAGTGAAACAACTACACTGAGGAGGCTGAAACACTATAGCTGCTCTACTGAAAAATAAGGAAAAGATTTTAGTGACTGCATGATCTGAAACTCTTATTTTCATAATATAGTTTGAGAGTGAACAGATACAAATTAGACCTGAATTGCAGCAGGGAGCTACAGAACCTGATTAAAGAGAAGTGCAAATCATTATTTAAAATCACTGGTATAGTTACACAAGTATATGAGCACCTAATATAAACTGCAGTGTAGGTAAATGGGATAGTATACCAAAGAAAGCTGCACTAACAAAGGTGTTCGTAAGAATATAGTTATATGAAGGCAAATTTAAAATACACAGAGCCTTAAATACTCCCATCTTAAGACAAGTTGTCTGGAAACGAAATGCTTTATTACATGCCCTGCAAATTCCCTTTCAGGGACCTGCATGTCCTCCCCAAGAGATTAGGGACATCAACCAAACTTAAAACACAGAGGAAGGCAACTAACACCACCTTGATGTTTCAAGTGGTTGTGATGGCATAAATTGTTCCGGGAGACACACTGAACACTCAGTGCACAGCCAGGTTAGGTGAAAATAAGCTTGTCGTAAGTTTTAAGGTAACACTATCCACTTGAAACGTAGCCTGTTCCAAACAGAGCCGAAAGTTGTGAGGTACTACACCCGCCCTGTCCTCCCCTGCCAAGTTCTGTGCTTTTAAAATGCGTTTTTACTTTTTAAATATTTCTCTCTCCCGTGCCATGCTGCGAAAGTCCCACACAGCGATGGAAACGGGTGAACTGGTTTCCACAAGGGAGAGAATTCGACCGAGCACACCCACACTGCTGTCAAATGCGCTCCCTAAACAATCCCTGGAAGTTAGAGGAAAAATAGCCCCCTCCCACTCCCCCGGGGCCTAGCACCTCCCCATACACTCCACTCCTGTTCCCGGGGCCTAGCCCCGTCCATGGTCTGGCGTACACACAACACCCCCCTTCCCTCCCTGCGAGGCCGCCTGGGAGACGTGTTAATGCCGCTGGTGCTTCCTGCCGGGGGGTGGGGGGGTACTGGTAGGGACCGGGGATGTGAAAGGCGGAGGCTTCTCACTACCTTCGTCGTAGTTATAGCCTCGGACGTTCCTGTGCCGGGCCATGGCGGCGGCAGCGACGTCGCTCACACTCGGTGGCGTTGGCGGCCGCAGCCCTAGGCCGCCATCTTGGTCTCCGCCTGGCCTCTACGAATCGCTGTGCGCACGCGCGGAACAGCCCCCCTCCCGGACGTTTTGTATGCGCATGCGCACTCCCTCGCCAACTGCCCAGCCGGAGGAGCTGCTCTGAGTGCGAGTTTTCCCTTGCCCAGAGCCGCGTCAGCTCCCCCTCCCACTTCCCCCCGGCTCGTTCAGCCTGACCCCGCCCTGCGGCCAACGCAGCCCGTCTGGCAGCACCGCCCAGTCTGTGCCCCGCCGTCCCCGACACGTGCACACCCTGCCAAACCCGAATTACGTCACCCCCCACGCGCACCCCCCCACGCCATCTGCGCTGCGAATAACCGCCCCAGAGCGCCTCTCACCCGCGCCCCCTCAGAACCCGTCGCGGTCCCTGCGCACCTCCCCCCGCGCCAGTCACTCCATCCACGGCCCTGACTGCGCTGTACCCCACCTAGCCCGTCCCTGGCCTACCCCCCACACACAGACCAGGCCATCCCCGATCCCATGTACCAGCCACACTGCCCCTTCCACACACACTGCACCCTGCCCTTCTTCCCGGTGTACACCGCCCCCCACCTCCCCCCGAACTCCCCAAGCTGAGCCACTGCCCAGTCAAAATTGCCCTGACACCCAGATCAACAGGCCCCGAGCCGCAAATATAATTTGTATAATTACAATTGGTTTGTATAATTTTTGGTGGTGCCCAGAACAGGTCCAAGTCCTGCCCCCCTCCCTCTGACCGCACTTGCCTAAGGGTCTGGGAGGGAATTTGGGTGTGGGACTGGGACTGCTCAGCTTGGAAAAGAGACAACTAAGGGGGGATATGATAGGATCTGTAAAATCATGAATGGTTTGGAGAACATACGACTTCAGTCTGGACCTTCACTGATGCATCTCAAAATGCTCTAAACCAGTGTTTCTCAACAACTGGTGCGTGGACCAGCGCCAGTCCCCGAGATCTCCCTGACACAGTTCAGGAAGGCAGTATGCCAGTCCCTGGTATCAAAACGGTTGAGAAACACTGCTCTCGATGACTAGGTTTTTTCAAATGTTAAAATCTGTGATAAATATTAAACACACTAAAGTAACAGCGTCTTTTCTATTTCATATAACTCTTTTGTTAAACTTGTTCATATTTTTAACACAAATCTCATCAGTCTCTTATCAATTTATCATTTTATCACACTTCCTTGAATTTTGGTACCAGTTTTACTGGCTTATTTATCACTTTTTTTATTACCCCTAATTTTTGGGACAAAAACCACATATCCTTTATTTGATAACCAAATCTAACACTGTTTTCAAGACTTAGGAAGTTTTATTTAAAGTGAATAACTTAAATAATGGCACTAGAAAATATAAACATAACTACTCTGCAATGCAGAAGAATCTATGTAGTATAATCCATACATGCCAATAATACGAAGCTTCCCTGAAGCAATAATTTTAATGGTAAAGCAGATGTAACCTTTAAAAGGAACCTGTAACTTACAATATGTCTTAGTTTAATGTGTAATTATCACTTAGCAGATAGTTTGAAAAGAAGACCTAACAACAGTGCATTCCAAGGACAATAGCATGCAGAAGTATTATTTTTGTATTGCAATAGAGCTCAGGATGGCCCCATCTTTGTTCTCTTTGGAAAGCACCCAGCACAATGGGGTCCTAGTCCATGATGAGGACACCACTGTAATGCAAATAATAATAATAATAAATGTGCCATAGGCCTTCCCTAGGTACTGTTCACTCTGAGCCCGATATAAATATTTGGAGATGATGACCAGCTAACGAATTGTTCAAGAACCATGTGACAGTGTCATATTTTTAAAGCTATATTTAAAGCTCAGTTAGTGGCATTCTTTTAAAGTGAATGTAATGCTCATGATAGGATTTACCCCCATTTAAATGCTACAGTGGTTCAGCCGCAGTGCTGCGGCTGCACCACTGTAGTGCTTCAGTGTAGACACTACCTACACCTACAGGAGGGGTTCTCCCCGAGATGCGGTAGCTAAGTCAATGGAAGAATTCTTTCATCAACCTAGCACCGTCTACACTGGGGGTTAGATCAGCTTAACTACATTGTTCAGGAGTGTAGATTTGTCACATCAGTGAGCGACGTAGCTGGATTGACCTAATTTTTTAGTGTAGACCAGGCCAAAGGTACAAGACTAATAGCAAAGGACATAAATTAAAACTTCTGTCTAGCCACAGATCATGTGCAATAGGATAACAGTAATTCAAGCACTGACACAGTATCCTACCAATCTGCCTCCAACATCTTTAACCTGGAGCTAGCTCCTCTTGAGGTGAACAGGTTCATTCTCTATGATCATTCAGACCCTAGACCCTTCACTGAGACTGCCTTGAAGTGATATTTCTTATGTAAGGACCTGTGTACTGGGAACTGAATTGAGATCACCAATGTATTTTTCAGAGGCCGTCAAACAGCCAGCAGATAGTAATGATTTTTGGTGGTTATCAATTTGCTGATCTGAACTGTTGACCTAGAGGTATCCATAATCCATCAGTAATCATCTGTCAGATAGCTTCCTGTGATAGTACATTTAAAAAAGTAAATTATCATTTAATTAAAGATTTCATACTAATTTATGCTGCTTATGGGATAAAACTCCTAGATAGTGTTTATTTTCTTTAAAAAAGTGTAGTTTTCGTTTTTACTGTTTTTGACAAGTAAAATGTCTTCTGAGGATCTCACAACAAATTTTCAAAAGAACCTCTTTTCTACTCATCTTGTATAATTCTCAGTCCCCAAAAGGTTCACAACAAGATTACTCAGTAGTAATTACTCAGTTCTCGACTGTGTTTAAATGTCTAACAAGGCCTTCAGTTTTCTGAACAGAGAAATATTGTACAGGCTACCTTCTCCTACCTGCTCGTAGTGGAAGAACAGTCCCCACTCATTCCCAGGTTACTCAACCCTGTAACTGTCTAAAAAGCTTTAAGTATCAAGCACTCAGTACAAAGATTGTGCTTAAACACTCCTTTTAAAACCACAACTAAACAGGGCATGGTTTGGAGAAAACTAATTCCAGGTGGCTTACTGCACTGTCATGTGTCACTTTTGGGTTAAGTTTTAAAATATAATGTCAGTGTCACTAAATATGTATCTAACTGATAAATGATCTGAACTTCTCAAAAGATCTGAACCCATTTAATACATGTATATCTTTATTTAAAAAGGACAGTATCTAGCTCAGAAACGGGCTAGGAGACAAAAGAGTGGGAATAAATCATTTTGCAACACAGTATTAGATTTACAGTGGGCATCACAAGTTTGCAAATTGTGATCAGTGTTGTTGTATTCATGATCTGGAAAATGGGGTGAGCTACAGAGTAACAAAAGTTTCATATAAGACAAAATTATTTAGGTTAGTCCAGACGAGAGAATATTATGAGGAACTTCAGAGGGACCTAATTAAACTATATGAATGGGCAACAAGATGGTAAATGAAATTCAGTGTTGACAAATGCGAAGTAGTGCATATTTGGATGGAATAACTGTTACTATTTATGCACCTTACAAGGTCCTAAATTAACTGTAGCAACCCAGGAAAAAGACCTGGACATCACTGTAAGCCTGTTGCAGGGCCGTTACCCCCATCACACTTTAGGGAGGGGCATTATAGCCCCTCAGCTGAGTCCAAATGACTACACTTAACTTCAGGGAAGTATGGCCAGAGTCAATAAGGCACCCCTCCGTGGCGGGGCTTCGTGGCCAGAGTCAATATGGCTGCCCTCCTCAACAGGGCTGTTTGGCCTAGTGGCCAACAGGGGAAGTGGGCCGCCACCAGGACTGGGTGGCATCTGGGCTAGGGGAACCCCGGTCCTCCCTACTCCACCAGATCCCAACCCAGGGCCTTGATAGCAGCAAATGGATTTGCCACTAGGTCAGCGGGGGTCTGTCTGAAACACACTGCCTTCGTTCCAGTTCCACAACCGGATCAATGTCTAGTTCCCCTGGGTTACTTCCTATGCTGCTTTCCAGTGTTGCTGTCCACATGTCTCCTGGGCCTCTGGGGTCATCAGCTGGAGAACCTCTCAATGACTCCATCTCCTCTTGGGCTTCTGCAGGTAGTCGGGTATCTGCCTGGGTTTCAGCACACTTGGCCTCTGTGATCTAGGGCTCCAGCAGTTCCTAGAAGTGAGCCTGCAGTGTGCATCCTCCCTCCTCAGCAGCTAGCTCCAACTGAGCTGGGCTGCTCCCTTTTATACTGAGGGTCCAGTTGGAACATGCCCAGCAGTGGTGGGGGTGTATGGCTTCCTCTGCCCACAATATGGGGTTAACACCTTCTTGTCCAGTGCAAGGCTGGTACACCCCATCACAGGGCCATTCAGTGAAGCCCTCTGCTCAATATGCTTCAGCAGCTGAAAAGCAAACAATATTCTAGGATGCATGACAAATCAAACAGAAAATTATATGGAAATACTGTAATGCTATTATGTAAAACAATGGTATTCCCTCTCATAGAACAGTGTGTTCAGTTCTCGTAACCCCTAAAAGAATATCACAGAAATAAAGGAGGTTCAGAAATGGATGATAAGAATTATTAGGGGCATGGAAAATCTCTTATATGAAGAGACATTGAAAAAATTGGGATTTACCTTATAGAGGAAATGAAGAAGAGAGGACATGATAAATGTATAGAATAACGAGGGCATACAGAAGATAGATCAGAAATTTCCATTACTTTTTACAAAATCCACCTCATCTGGATGCAGCCATTGATTATATTAGCCACATAAAGACATCTCACTACCAAAATTCTTGACGCAACACTTAGCATTAAAAATTTGCTGACATACATATCCCCATAGCAGGGGGATATACAATTATAGTTGCTTGTTGGGAGAGTAGCTTGTTAAACTAGGGTGTATTTAGCTGGTAATTTTTTTGATTTTGTTTTCTGTGTTCTGAACTTTACAATTTCTGTGAATTTGCTGTTGGTAAATTGAGCAGAACCAGCATGTTACCAAGGAAATCCATACAATGCTGTCTTGTGGGGAGTTTACTCTTGTTCTTTGTTGTTTT